AGATGTTTGGGCATATTTCACATTTTTACCAGGAAAACTTATTTGAGCAGACACTAGTGTGTTAAACCATTAATATACTGACTTTATTTTACACCTACTAATACAGATACTTTATTTTACAGTATTACAATGGTGTTTGACCTAATAGTGTTTTAAGCACATTAACATAGGTATGTATTTTAAAATTATGCAGTGACTTGTCTCTGCTTAACTCAAGCTTTCAAAGCTATTTTGGATAAAATTAAAAAAAAATACCAAAACATCTTTACAAATGTTCTCTTAGCTTTCCAAATGTTTTGTTCTCATACATTCAGCTATGTCCTTAATATTTGGCATTTTGATTTATTAAGCAATCTTAAGTATTAAAGGCTTTTAGCGTTCACCAGCGCAAGTCTTCAGATGCATTGTGCCTTGTGTCAATGATGAATTAATTCCAGCAGAGCACAGAAGTTACTATTATTTAAGCCCAGCTCCTCACCTCTGCTTTTACATCACGGTCCGGTTTCAAAAGGCCGCAGGCTGGGCTGTGTCTGACGGAGGGAAGCGAGGCAGCGGCGCTGTGCGGGCAGGCGCTCCGGCCGCGGGGGCCATGGCGCGGGGCGCGGGCCCGCCCTGAGGGGCTCCCCGCGAGAGGCTCTCCCCGAGGGGCTCCCCGCGAGGGGCTCTCCCCGAGGGGCTCCTCCCGAGGGGCTCTCCCCGAGGGGCTCCTCCCGAGGGGCTCCTCCTTGAGGGGCTCTCCCCGAGGGGCTCCTCCCGAGGGGCTCATCCCGAGGGGCTCATCCCGAGGGGCTCTCCCTGAGGGGCTCCCGCGGGCAGCGCCCGCTCCGCGCGCTCCCGCCGCCGGCGCGCGCCNTGCCCCGGGCCGGGCCCAGGTGCGGACCCTTCCCGCCGGGCCCAGGTCCGGGCCCTTCCCGCCGGGCCTGGGCCCAGCCCGGGCCGCGCCGGCACCGCAGGCCCTGCCAGCCGGGTATGGCACGCACCCCGTCATAAACCGAGGAGGTTTAATTGCGGCACCGCGCGCTATCCTGCTATTTGTACAAATAAAAGACCCCGTCTTGATGCAAAATAAACACAAAAGCACTGTTGTGACTATAACAGGGAGTCATATACTAATTTATATAATAAGTGGTTGTGCACGCTTTATTCAAGATTATGGCTGCAAGAAATGGCATGAATTGCTGGGTGTGTTTAATGCTGGATTATAGCAATTTGAAACATGTCAAACACATGGCTAATGCCTCATGCTTCACTCATTCTTGCGTAAACCTGCATAGCCACCATCCATTATACCCCTGGTAACAACACAATTCTGCAAGTAAATATTGTTACACTAAGTAACCTTTCAATTCAAGTTGTTTAGGAAGAGAAAATGCAATCTTGTGCAGTCAGTTCCAGTGTCAGTTTAATGTTTCAAAAGGGAAGTGGTGTAGAGAATAAGTATCTGTACAGTGACTTGCCGGCTTAAAGCACACACGCGTGCACGTGCGGGCGCACGGCGCATAGAAAATGTCCAGGTCTGCAGGGGAGAAAAGTCAGGCTGAGCCTCTAACTCAACAAGGTGGAGTATTTCTTTTTTTGGTATGGGTGATGGCTTGGCTACCCTGACAGGATTAGGTATTCAACCTGCAGTGCAACCACACTCTAAAATTATCTACAATTTCATTCTGTCTTGCAGACAGCAGGAAATATTTTCCCCATACCTTTGTTTAAAATACCGGGTAGCAAAGCTTGTATTGCACCTTTGGCGCCAAGAGTTGCAGAATCACGACAGAAGTAGGTGCTGGTGAATGTGTCTGTGAATGTGGGTGCGTGTGTGCATGTGTGCCTGTGTAGGCATGCTCATGACTGACAGCGAGTGTGACAGCAAGAGAAAAGAGAAGGATTAGAAAGTATGAATGTGTATAAATGTATGTAAACAGGGACCTGTATATTTTTTCTTGTCCTATTTGAATTTCCAAACTTACAGCCTTAGTGTCTGGCTGATACCTGTCTATTTCCTGTGTGTTTATTTATGCTCATTTTGGTAACAGTCTGCACTGCTATTGTAAAAACAAGAAAAAAAGTACATTAGTTTGCTCAGTGAGATGTTGCAGGTTCAAATTATTTTGCTACCAATAACTCTGATACTGATACATAGACATTAGAAATCATCCTTGTTTAGATGATTTCAGTGCTTCAAATTGTGAGGATTTAGAGGATTAAATTTTTGATAGTACATACACATGTGTGTAGACTCACGTATATATGTACGTCTATGCAAAAGAAAAGAAGGGAAAAGAAAGATTCTATGCTCTTGCTTTCGCTAGCAGCCCTTTTTCAGCTGCTGACAGTGAGCAGGGGGCTGAGGACAATCAACACAGTGTACTACTCTAGCCAAAGTTTTAGTGTTCTTAAAAATATAATTTTAAAACTAGAGAAACACCCCCCACGCTTTATTTTTAACATAAAATTATATGGTCTCTTTTGTCTTCATAAAAATACTTCAGTGTTTCTTCACTTCACTTCCAAATAAATTGCCCTTTCTAGTATTGTTACTCTGTAGTTCCATTCTGTCTGTACCCAGCTGTTGGATCGGATTTGTTGTTTTCTATTGCCAGAGTGGTGTTACTGGTCATGTTATGTTAAAGCCTATTTTGCTGGCTCACAGGCACTTTAACTTTAAATGTAGAGCCTGAACTACACTCTGGGGCTTTGCGAGGATACAAAATCCACAAGACATAAAACCCTTTGGTTAATATGAACTGGAAGACATTTAACCCTTCTTTGTTAATTGTAATGAAACAATCAGAGAGATGTAAAAACAGGAGGGATGGTGTATTTATTTATTACAGTTCTGGGTGTTTTGTAATGTTTTGATTATCTAACATTTACCCCCCCTTTGCCCTTTTAATGTGCCTGGCTAAATGTACCACTGTTATTGTCTAATGTTTGAATTTGTAAAAGATGAACCTGTCTGTTAGTTAAATCTTTGTTTCACTAAAAGAGGATTAACGTTTGAATTTCCCAAATTTCCAAATCCTTGTAACGATACAGCTGATGAAGTTTCAAATAAATTTCCACTCTGATGTACACGTCCTTTTATTGAAAGTAAATATTGTAAAAATCGGAAAGGGCTGTCTGCTTCCACAGTTGTGGCATATCCGCATTAGAATTTTCATATAACTACTAAGGGCAATCAGACCCTTTTCTCTGAATATTTTAAACATTGTACATGTAAAATTTATGCCTAATTTGAATACTTATTAGCTGCCTAATCTCTGAAAAGAGTATTAGCTTTGTTTTTGCCTTGTAAAATTCATCACTGCTTGTATCACATTTTCCATTTCTATTATTTTTCTTTGCTGATGTTCATAAGTGTTTTAGGAGGACTGTTTCTTCATAAACACATCTGGTGCTGCTGTTGTTTACTGGGCTATAACAGCTGCTCTCCTTTATGTTAACTGTGTTTGTGTTTAGGCTTTTTGCATCCTGTTTATTTCTGACCAGACCATCCTTAAATAACTCATCTTTTGCTATTTTAACATGTTTCACATAATATATACTTATACTTTATCTTGTAGGAGCTTGTTTGTGGTAACTCACACTGCATTTTAATTAATATCCCATGCAAATAGTTGAAGTTGTAATGATCCTTTTCCTGCCTTTTTTTTAATTTTTTTTTTTTAAGGAAAGGCAGTTGCGCATACTTTGCAATGGACAAAATAGCTCAGTTAAATAATTAAGCTAAACAGCAAGCTTTGTTTCCTTTCCTGAGTTTGCTTGCACATCCCTCTCCCTTCAGAGGTGTTTTTTAAAATCACAGCTCAGCCAGGTTGTTGTGAGGACTCTTGTCAGTAGGTCGGGAGTGAGGATGAAGGAAGGGAGCTGCATTCTGACCCTGCGAGAACAGGAGAGGACTTTGGTGGCTCTGAGAAGAGACGCTGACCTTTCCATATTACAGATACAAAATGCGCCTTGAAATTCTGGTTTGTAAGGGCACGTTGGTTCTTTATTTACTGCAAAGATTTCAACTGATCTTGGCAGGACATCTCATTGCTATCCTGAAAGTACAGTATATTTATGCAGTGAAAATGATAAAACATTTATTACTGTAGAGAAGGTAATATGCATAATTTATGCTGTTTTTAGCACAATCATTAGTGATATTCTTGATAGATTTTATTTCCAGCTTTCATATCTAATACATGCCTGGAAAATTAATTTTATATCTTTCATTTATTTGCCTATGTTAAAATTGAGTTTTAAGTCATCTTCAAGTGAACAGTTTGATTGCTGCTCATGCATAAGCTTAATTACTTCCCAGGAAGGACAGTATTAAATGTTTTAAATGTCAGAAAAATAAATGAATATCAGGCGTTTGATTAAAAAAATAGGCAATATCTGACGTGTTTGCAGCAGGAGCTTTTTCTTAAAATGCCTCCGAGGCAAAATTTTATTTAGTCACAAAAAAGGAGAAGCCCATTATACTATTTATCATTGGTTGATACCATATGATTTGTAACACCCTTACAAAATTTTAATTTTGTATGATTAGCTGTGCATCATTAAACAACAGCCTTGCATAAGATATGCTGTAAAATTCTGACAGAATCAAGATAGTGAATATTTTAAATAAGGCTGTATAGTCATCCATGGTTGTCAAAGCTAGATAATAGGAAATATAGAGCAGTGTGTGAAATCGTGCCTTCACTTAAACTGGTTTTATAGGTAGACTTTAAAACGTAGTCGTTCATAAATGCTATTGACCATGCTGCGTGCATGGTGTGTTATTTTGGCCGTTAAATGTAAGCACACAAAGCTTGCTCATAGAAATCATAATTCCAGTGATTAGCAGCTGTATGAAAGCAGAGTTTGCATTGCATTTCTTGGTAAACGGCTCTGTGAGGCTTTTTTCTTCTTCTAAAGATGCTGTCTGTGTAATTGGCAGAGAGGGACATCTTGATAATGGAAGTGTGAAGGTGTAACGCGTGTGTTAATTGATACTTCTTAATCACTTTTAGGTATTAAGTCATGATGCAGGAATCTGCGACAGAGACAATAAGCAACAGTTCAATGAATCAAAATGGAATGAGCACTCTAAGCAGCCAATTAGATGCTGGCAGCAGAGATGGAAGATCAAGTGGTGACACGAGCACTGAAGTAAGCACAGTAGAACTGCTGCATCTGCAACAACAGCAGGTAAGTTTGTTTTGTTTCCTGTTTGTTTTTAAACAAATGAAGGGCTGTTTTCAGAGGGGGACCTTTTTGTAGACCCTTGGTGTGTGCTGAATGTGGAGTGTCGTGGAAGCGAAGAGCATGGGGCATTATTTGTTGTTGTTTTAGTGCACGATAATGCTGAAAGGGAAGGATCCCGTTCTTGTGGCAGCAACATCTTGCTGATATTGGCTGCATGCCACCACGCTTGCCTGGCGATTAAAATCCCGCTGCGTATTTATGAAAGTTGTGCCGAAGCCTTGCAGTGCATGTTTTCAGGAGCTGTTAGTTTATGTGCGATTCGGGCGGGCAGGACGTGGTGCAGGCTTTTCCACCAGAGGGCCACATTACTTGAGACTTCGCTTCGCTTGCGATGAATTGTGCCAAAGTCGGAGCTGGGCAGTGAAGGGACCCTAGTGAAGGGACCAGAGTGACTTTTCTCAATAAAGATACTTTGCTGTCACAGGTGTAATTAAAAAATGCTGGTTAGTTCAAACGCACTGAAATAAAAAAGACAGTGTTCCTGTCTGTGTGTGCTTGTGTGTGTGTGATTTGTAATATGAATGTGTAATTTTGAAGACATGAGAAAAGAGAAGAAGCAGTTTTTCTGCATGTCTGTTTCCCTTCTCATTTTGAAAAACATATTTTTTTTTTAATCTATTTGTGTTCCCAACAAAGTTAATGCAGAACTAGTGTTGTGTTTAAAACTGTAAAATTCAACCGTCCTCTGGCTGCTGACACCACCTAATTACAAGATGCAATACATTAATTTTTGTCACTGTAAGATTTCCTTTTAAAACCTGAACAAACAAAACTACTTTTTCTGCCTAAGGAGCTGCCTCGCCATCAGGGAACACAAATTGTACTAATGCAGTGAAGCCCAAATTGTTTGGTAAACAGCCGGGGTCTGATTCTGCCCTGTACCTGCTTCAAACTCCTGAAAGTCTTTGCTGCCTCATTCTTTCATTTGCTGAGCCCACTCAGCACCTTTGGAGTTCAAACCCATAATTTTAAATGCTGAGGTTTTTCATTTCAACGTCAGGTATTACATTAGTGGAAGAAAAGTTGTTTTCTGTTAGGTAAACTATTATGAAAATGTTGTTTTATAGAAACATGTTTTAACTTGATAGATACATTGCATGTGCATGGGCCTCTGAAATAGCAGGTCATAATAGCTCTTAAAATTGAATAATTTTTAGTGCTGAATTAAGCAGTGTACACTAGCTACATTTATAGTTAAATATTTTAAATGGTGACAGAAAATGTGGAAGAAGGAAATAGTTATAGATTGAAATATGAGAAGTTGTTAAGGCTTAAATATGTGCCTTGCTTCAAATTCATGTGTATTCTGTTTTAGCAATTGAGCACTTACAGTATGCCAGTCTGAAGAAATACAGATTTCAGTGTCTTCATTATGTTCTTAGCAGGTTTCTACCTCTCTCTATATACATGATTATTGTATTATAGTACCTTGTATTTTTGTACTATTTTAATATAAAATCGTATACATATAAATAAATATAAAAATGTAATATTGTTTTCATTGAAAATCATGCCATGATCTTTATTCAGGTGTTCAGATTACAACAGAATTTTAAAATCTTCGTTGAGAAAGAAATTGGTGAATATGTTTAGAAACTAAATTTAAGTGAAGTACTTAAAACACAAAAATGCTAATAGAATAATGTGCCACTTACATGTTTCTCAAAGTAGCAGTCCTAGGCATGTGTAGCCAATTTGTCCATACAGCCAGAGATTCCAGTAGATAGCATTTGCAAAGACCACAGAGAATTACAACTGAAGATGAAAATATCCAGTTGAGTACTAATAACAGGCAGGTTCTGAGGGGACAGGCTTAGAAGTGACAATCTTTTCTTCAAAATTGTGATTAGATCTTAAATAAGCAGACAGGCAAAGTAAAACCATGGGTACAGTTAATAGGACTCAAGAGGCATTTTATGGTAGGGTCTGCACCATAGGATTTAAATACAGCTTGAGTTAGGCATATGAATCCTTCTATAAAATATGTTGATGTGAAACATAAACACTAGTAAACATACAGTAGGATGTCCTTCAGATAACGGGCATAGCTTTGTGCTACTTTTGCTTTTCTTCCTTCTTTTTCTGTTTCTCCCCCCCCCCCGCCCCCCCCGTTTTTGAACAGATGCCTTTTGAAATATGAATTAAGAGAAAAATGATGGTTGCTTTTATTATTGTCACTGTAGTAATTCTCTAAAATGATGTTTTTAATATGTGACACTTGTCTGGAAAACTTTGACACACAGAAAAACAGAGGAAACCCTAGCAACTATTATTGTTCAGATTTTTTATTGTTTAAATATGTGCAAGATGTACTCATCTCATAGTTTAACATTCTGGATTTGGCTTCTCTGAATCATTTTACTGGGAGTCTTCGAATAAAAAAAATCAAGTTTTTTATAGCTTCTTCTAAAGGAAGTAAGTAAATGATTGCTGGTTTTAATAATTTCCTTCAACTAGGCAGCTATGTAAAGGGATGCTAATGCTTAAGAATAAGTTTATCAGCCAAGTAAAATCATAAAATAAGTTTTTACTATGGCATGAATGTTTACTGGGGAAAGTTAAGTGGGAGAAATTTTAGGCTATATAGAAGACCAACTAGGCTCAATTAATTTTTAAAAGTTATTTATGTATGGATTTATAGAAGGTAAATAAGATAAAACAGATTTTATTATGTTCTTTTAGGCAACTATATGGAGTTTGGACACTCTTGTTATTTTCTTGATGAACTATATTGTTGTGGTCTTTATATAGAAATGAGAAGTTTGACTTAAATCAGGGAGTTATTCCTCATCCATGTATCAAGTGCAAATGACAGTATTCTATAATATATTGTAATATATACTCGGTGATAAATGGGTTGGGTGCTGTCACAAGTCATCAGGTCGGCTTTGAAGATGTATGACTAGGATGTAAGCAACTTCTTTTCTTGCTGGTGATATTTATAGATTTATAAATATTTCTAAAGTGAGTGTATAATTTTATTTTAAAAATATGATGCAAACTGTAATCTGCCCAGACTTGTGTCTTCTGCATTTTTTGGCTGACGGTGAGCTTTCTCTTTTGTATGTGTACATTCAGACACTTCTGAGCTTTTCATTTTCTTTTTTTTCCTTGTATATTAAAATCAGTGTTAGATACTGGAATTTATAATACATGAAAAAAAGCATATCCTTGATTAAATACATTGACAGATTATTCTGCATTAGATGTAGAATTTTATTTTTATATTAAGTTTGTAGAATTAATTGTTTGTGTCACTGAGGTCAAAATAGTTGCTAAAAAACCATGATTGCTTTGCAGGGTAGATTTGAGCTTGCATTTTGAGCATTCATTAAGTCAGTGCTACCAAGATAATCTTTTTAAATGTTTTATGGGAATTTATTGCTTAGAAGCTGTTTCAGTTGACTACGTATTATGTTATTTCTTCAAAGCAGTTTTATTTTGTTAGTATATCATTACTAGCATTTTATTGTTACAAAATATGTAGAGTATTTCCAAAAGTGATAATATGGTACTATCATTCAGATTATCTTAATGATGAAAAAATAAAAGTTTTGCTTTCTTGTGTATTTTTTCCTCATGATTATTTAAAAAGGAGGAGGAAAAGAATAGGAGTTTGTTTATTATATGAAGTCTTGAATTAGGTGTTAACAAAACTTATGTTTCTGTATGTTGGAAGGTAATTCTGTTTACTAAACCGCTAGAAACTTGCATTTTGGTTCTGTGAAAGAGAAAATAATTTTCTCATACTGTAGAGGAAGTTTTTATTAAAAAGTGACATAAAAATATGCAGCTGCTACACCTGTAGCAAAAGCCATAAAACATACTGATGCTATGTAAGTTAAATAGAAAACTTCTTACTGCATCTGATTGTACTTATCATTACTAAAATTGACCCTAGCATATTAGGCAAAAATGCCTCTTCCTAGTGATTTAAAACAGAAGTTCAAATTATGGAAAGCTATGCAGAAGTGTCACAGGCTTAAAAGAGCAAAAGTCTGCTAGGTTCATTTATAGGACTTTCAGAGCAGGTATTACCAAATTAGCAGATGTTGAGCTAGTAGGGAAAAGTATGTTTCCTGAATTCAGGCACACAGGTGGTCTAATCTTTAATTTATTATAGAAATTAGAATGTCCTAAAATACCAGAATGTAATTTTACCAAAGTCCTGATATGCCCCTAGAACTATTTCTTATTATTAGTCTTTATTTTTTTATTCCTGCCCTGTGCTTCTGCAAACAGTTTTTTCCCTTGGTGAATAACTGGAGAAGGGCAAAATTCAAGTACAGGCTGTCTGTCTGCCTACTGACACTACAGCTGGAGTAGAAAGAGTGTATTTCATTTTCCATGTCTGTTGTCCCAATCTTTGATGAACCCCTTGTTGTCTGATTGTCCAAAAATTTTGAGCACATGGCCATTTAATGTGACTGCCAGGAGGTGGGTCACGTTGGGACCACGCCTCACTATTTCCACCTGCGAAATGGGAGTGCTATCTGGTGTACATATTTGTTTCTGAAGCAATTCATAAGCTAAACTCCTGACTACCAGAGCCAAACTATCTGATTAAATGTTATAAAAACCCCGTATCACATCTCAATGTGGTATTTTGATGGGAATACCAATTTTCAGACATGAGGTTTGTAAAAATGTCTACTGCTTGTGCAGCTATATAATTTTCTAGAGCTTGCCTTCAAAGAGATGTGAACATAAAGCACCATGTTCATCACAAGAATACATATTAACACCTAAATGTGTAGATTAGGAAAAACTGCTGTAATCTCACTGAAAGATTTTTAGGAAAGCACATTGAAATAAGTGTACATACTTTTTTTCCCTAAAGATAAAATGAGCTTAATAGATTTAAAACTAGATTTAAAGTAAAACTTACCAATTTAGGGGGGAAAGGGATAAACTTCATTTCTAGAGAGCTTGTGCAAGCTATA